GCCTCGGCCTCCCAAAATGCTGGGATTACAGGCATGAGCCACCGTGCTCCGTCTAACAAGGATTTTTCTTTAAGGAAAGATAGTTGGCTCCATTTGGGATGTGCTAAACCCAACGGGCCTGGGAGACATCCGGGGAAGAAGCCTGGGATGGGATGGGTGCTGTGGGGGTCGGACACTGGGGTGGGGGGCACACTCAGGCTGCACTGAGCTGCTGTCCATGTGGCTAAGAGAGCCAGGGCTTCCTGCAGGAAATCAGCACCATTTTCGGTGTCCAACTGCTGGGCATGACCACAGGAAGGGGGCTGCATATTTTTCTTGTAGCTTCTTCAGCCACAGCCTGACCGCAGCCCAGATTCTGTTGGGTCTGCCATTTCCGTGTGTGTGTGTGTGTGTGTGTGTGTGTGTGTGTGTGTGTGTGTGTTTGGAGTTTTGCTCTTGTTACCCAGGCTGGAGTGCAATGGCACGATCTCAGCTCACCACAACCTCCACCTCCGGGATTGAAGCCATTCTCCTGCTTCAGCCTCCTGAAAGCTGGGATTACAGGTACCCGCCACCTCGTCCGGCTAATTTTTGTATTTTTAGTAGAGATGGGGTTTCACCATGTTGACCATGCCGATCCCAAATTCCTGACCTCGTGATCCACTGGCCTCAGCCTCCCGACGTGCTGGGATTACAGGTGTGAGCCACTGCGCCGGCTTTTTTTTGTTTTTTTGTTTTTGAGATGGAGTTTTGCTCTGTTGCCGAGGCTGGAGTGCAACGGCCCGAACTTGTCTCACCGCAACCTCCGCCTCCGGGAGTAGCTGGGATTACAGGCATGCACCACCATACCTGGCTAATTTTTGTATTTTTAGTGATTTGCATTTTTAGTAGGTTTCTCATTGTTGGTCAGTCTAGTCTTGAACTCCTGACCTCGTGATCTGGCTGCCTCGGCCTGTCAAAGGGCTGGGAATACAGGCGTGAGCCACTGCCCAGCAATTTTTGTATTTTTAATAGAGACAGGGTTTCTCCAGTTGGCCAGGCTGGTCTTCAACCCCTGACCTTGTGATTCGCCTGCCTTGGCCTCCCGACGTGCTGGGATTACAGGCGTGAGTCACCACACCCCACCCAACCCATTTCCATGTTTTTTGTTTTCAGCAGGGCTAGACGGCAGGCAAGGTCAAGGCCAGAGCCCAGGCCTCTCAGAAGGAACTCCCCCCAGACCCTCACTCCAACATTCCCCTTCCTAAAAGGACCCCATCAAAGCCACTTACAGCCAGGCATGGTGGTGTACATACCTGTGGTCCCAGCTACTCAGGAGGCTGAGGCGGGAGGATTGCTTGAACCCAGGAGTTTGAGGCTGCAGTGAGCTGGAATTGTGCCACTACACTCCAGCCAGAGTGACAGAGTGGAAACCCATCTCTTAAACAAACAAACAAAAAAAATCACTTAGAACCAAGAACCAATTAACAAGTGGTGGGAGATGATCTTGCTGAAAAGTCCAAGGGTGAACTTGTCCCAGGAGGAGGGACCTATCAGTGTTGCCAGGACTCCAGGTTCAAAGACACGACCTTTGCCTGACTCATTTGACTAAGCTGACTTATTTGAGCAGGCACTGTTTGGGCCTGGAAACTTTAGGGTCAGTTTGGGACCAGGTCAGAAGTCACGATTTCATGAACTACAGGTTGGAGGCCCGGGTGGAGCACCCGTAAGTAAATGGCTTTTCTCTCTTAGCATTGATTTCCGCAGCTGTAAAATGTGGATTATAATAGATTGGCTTTGGGAGGCCGAGGCAGGCAGATCACAAGGTCAGGAGTTCAAGACCAGCCTGGCCAACATGGTGAAACCCTGTCTCTACCAAAAATACAAAAAAAAAAAAAAAAAAAAATTATCTGGGCGTGGTGGCATGCACCTGTAGTCCCAGCTACTCGGGAGGCTGAGGCAGAAGAATCGCCTGAACCCAGGAGGCGGAGGTTGCAGTGAGCCAAGATCACGCCACTGCACTTCAGTCTGAGCAACAGAGTGAGACTCTGATTAAAAAAAAAAATTAATAATAATAATAACAGATTGGTGTCCTCCCTAAATTTTGTACCTGCAAACAGTCCCAGCCCTCCAAACTGAAAGTCTGTTGCTCTTTCCTTTAAAATTATAAATGGTGGACCAGGTGCAGTGGCTTACACCTACAATCCCAGTACTTTGGGAGGCCGAGATAGGAGGATTGCTTGAGGCCAGGAGTTCAAGACCAGACTGGCCAACATAACGAGACCCTATCTCTATTTAGCGAAATACATATATATATGTGGTATATAATTATATATTTATTTTACTTAATTAATTTATTATTTTGAGAGATAGTCTTGCTCTTGTCGCCCAGGCTGGAGTGCAGTGCCGCAATCTCGGCTCACTGCAACCTCCACGTCCCAGGTTCAAGCAATTCTCCTGCCTCAGCCTCCTGAGTAGCTGGGATTACAGACGCCCACCACCACACCCAGCTAATTTTTTGTACTTTTAGTAGAGATGGGCTTTGCCATGTTGGCCAGGCTGGTCTCTAACTCCTGACCTCAGGAGATCCACCCGCCTCGGCCTCCCAAAGCGCTAGGATTACAGACGGGACCCACGGCATCTGGCCTATATTTTATTTTATATTTTAAAATATATACATAATGTAGTTATATATTAGGTTGGTGCAAAAGTAATTGTGGTTTCTGCCACCGCTTTTTTTTTTTTGAGATGGAGACTCCTGTCACCCAGGCTGGAGTGCAGTGTTGTGATCTCAGCTCAGTGCAACCTCTGCCTCTTGGGTTCAAGCAATTCTCCTGCCTCAGCCTCCCAAGTAGCTGGGACTACAGATGCCCACCACCATGCCCGGCTACTTTCTGTATTTTTAGTAGAGACTTTAGGTTTCGCCACGTTGGCCAGGCTGGTCTCAAACTCCTGACCTCAAGTGATCCGCCCGACTTGGCCTCCCAGTGTTGGGATTACAGGTATGAGTCACTGCGCCCAGCCTCTGCCATTACTTTTTTTTTTTTATTTGGAGTCTCGCTCTGTCGCCCAGGCTGGGGTGCAGTGGCACGATCTCGGCTCCCTGCTACAACCTCCGCCTCCTGGGTTCAAGCAATTCTCCTGCCTCAGCCTGCTGAGTAGCTGGGATTACAGGCACCCGACACCACGCCTGGCTAATTTTTGTATTTTTAGTAGAGACGGGGTTTCACCATGTTAACCAGGCTGGTCTCGAACACCTGACCTTGTGATCTGCTCACCTTGGTCTCCCAAAGAGCTGGGATTACAGGTGTGAGCCACCACGCCTGGCCTGCCATTATTTGTAATGGTATTAATTATATTAATTAAAAGTAATGGCAGAAACCACAATTACTTTTACAATAAAATTACAAATGGAAACTGTCATGCTGCCATTCTTTTTTTTTCTTTCTTTTCTTTTAAGACAGTCTTGTCCTGTCACCCAGGCTGGAGTGCAGTGGTGCAGTCACAGCTCACTGCAGCCTTGACCGCCTGGACTCAAGCGATCCTCCACCTCAGCCTCCTGCGTAGCTGGGACTACAGGTGTGCGCCACCATGCCTGGCTAATTTGCTATTTTTTGTAGAGATGGGGTCTTACTATGTTTCCCAGGCTGGTCTCAAACTCCTGGGCTACAAAGATCCTCCTGCCTCAGCCCCTGAAGTCTGGGAATTACAGGAGTGTGCCACCGCACCCAGCTGCCAGCTCTATTTTGGTTTTGGCTGGGCACGGTAGTTATACCTGTAATCCCAGCACTTTGGAAGGCCAAGGTGGGTGGATCACGTGAGGTCGGGAGTTTGAGACCAGCTTGGCCATCATGGTGAAAGCCCGTCTCGACTAAAAATACAAAAACTATCTGGGCGTGATGGTGGGTGCCTATAATTCCAGCTACTCGGGAGGCTGAGGCACGAGAATCGCTTGAACCTAGAGGTGGAGATTGCAGTGAGCTGAGATTGTGCCACTGCACTTCAGCCTGGGCAACAGAGTGAGACTCTGTCTCAAAAAAAAAAAAAAAAAAAAAGAAAAGAGAAACATTTTATTTTAGAATAGTTTCAGATTTGCAGAAAAAAACCCAGTGAGCCTGGTACAATGAATTTCCCGCATTCCCTACACCCAATTTCCCATCATTTATTTATTTATTTATTTATTTAGACAGAGTCTTGTTCTGTCGCCCAGGCTGGAGTGCAGTGTCGTGATCTCAGCTCACTGCAACCTCCTCCTCCTGGGTTCAAGCTATTCTTCTGCCTCAGCCTCCTGAGTAGCTGGGACTACAGGCACGCGCCACCATCCCTGGCTAATTTTTGTATTATTAGTAGAGACAGGGTTTCACCATGTTGGCCAGGCTGGTCTTGAATACCTGACCTTATGATCCGCCCACCTTGGCCTCTGAAAATGCTGGGATTACAGGCGTCAGCCACCAAGCCCAGCCCTTTATTTATTTATTAAAGACAGGCTTTTGCTCTGTCGCCCAGGCTGGAGTACGATCATAGCTCACTGCAGCCTTGACCTCCTGGGCTTGAGTGATCAATCCTCCCACCTCACCCTCTTGAGTGGCTGAGACCACAGATACACAGTACTACACATGGCTAATTTTTTATTTTTTGTGGAGTGGGGTCTCACTATGTTGGCCAGGCTTGTCTCAAACTCCTGGGCTCAAGCGATCCTCCTGCCTCAGCCTCCTGAGTAGCTAAGACTACAGGCACTCACCACCATCATGCCCAGCTAATTTGTATATTGTTTGTAGAGACAGGATCTTACTATGTTGCCCAGACTGGTCTCCAACTCCTGGGCTCATGTGATCCTCCCTCCTCAGCCTCCCAAGTTGCTGGGATTATAGGTGTGAACCACTGGCTCTGGCTGAGAAAAAAAAAATTGAGTGGGAAGATTGGGAGGGATAACATTAGGAGAAATACCTAATGTAGGTGATGGGGGGATGGAGGCAGCAAACCACCGTGGCATGTGTATACCTATGTAACAATCCTGCAGGATCTGCACAGGTACCCCAGAACTGAAAGTATAATAATAATAAATAAATAAAAGAAATTACTTTAAAAAAAATTTAAGAAGCAAAGATCATCCACAATCGACCCTTGGTTGTTTCATTTCTGTTTGTTATCACATTACATGTATATTTCACTTACTTTGGGCTACTGAGATGTGGCCCTCCGTGTGCACCTAAGGACATCTCCATTCCTGTAGGAAGACGCTGGCCCCAAGTTGCTCACTGTGCAGGGGTGATTCTGCTCCAGGGGACATTTTTGTTGTCACCACGGGTGCTGGGAGTTCTCCTGGCATCCAGGGATGCTGCTCTATACACATCAGTGCACAGATCGGCGTCAGGGATGGTGGCGCGTGCCTGTAGGAACCTCCACCTCCCAGATTCAAGTGATTCTTGTGTCTCAGCCTCCCGAGTAGCTGGAATCACAGGTGTGTGCCACCATGCCTGGCTAATTTTTTTTTTTTTTTTTTTTTTTTGAGACGGAGTTTCACTCTTGTTACCCAGGCTGGAGTGCAATGGCGCAATCTCGGCTCACCGCAACCTCCGCCTCCTGGGTTCAAGCAATTCTCCTGCCCCAGCCTCCTGAGTAGCTGGGATTACAGGCATGTGCCACCATGCCCAGCTGATTTTTTTGTATTTTTAGTAGAGACGGGGTTTCACCATGTTGACCGGGATGGTCTCGATCTCTTGACCTCGTGATCCACCCGCCTCGGCCTCCCAAAGTGCTGGGATTACAGGCTTGAGCCACCGCGCCCGGCCCCTCTAGCAAGCCTTTGTTTCTTTACAGCCAGTTTCTTTCTGCTGGCTGCCCACTGTCTTCCTAGCAATGTATTTTCCTACTTTCCCTTTTTTTTTGAGGACTCGTCTCGCTATGCCACCCAGGCTGGAGTGCAGTGATATGATCTCGGCTTACTGCAATCTCCGCCTCCTGGGTTCATGCAATTCTTCTGCCTCAGCTTCCAGAGTAGCTGAGACGACAGGAGCCCGCCACCATCCCCTGCTAATGTTTTGTATTTTTAGTAGAGACGGGGTTTCACCATTGTTGGCCAGGCTGGTCTTGAACTCCTGACCTCCACCCACCTTGGTCTCCCAAAGTAATGAGGAGTGAGCCATCATGCCTGGCATATAAAGTTTTTTTCTCCCTTCTTCATCTTCCTCTTCTACTTTTTTCCAGACAACGTTAGCAGGACCCTCTGTACCATCAAACTTTACTTTAGACTTATAGTTAGCAATATCCTTCTTGTATTTTTCTTTCTTTCTTTTTTTTTGAGACAGTCTCACTCTGTCACCCAGGCTGGAGTGCAGTGGCGCGATCTCGGTTCATTGAAACCTCTGCTTCCCAGGTTCAAGTGATTCTCCTGCCTCAGTCTCCTAGTAGCTGGGATTACAGGTGCTGGCCACCACACCTAGTTAATTGTTGCGTTTTTATAGAGACGAGGTTTCATCATGTTGGCCATGTTGGTCTTCAACTCCTGACCTCAGGTGATCCACCCACCTTGGCCTCCCAAAGCACTGGGATTCAAACTCCTGGACTCAAGTGATCCTCCCACCTCAGCCTCCCTGTTACCATTACCAGGAGAGCCCTGAGAAAATAACTGGGAAAGTTTTTTTAGTTATTATAAAAAAAAAAAAAAAAAGCACAGCTACTTAAAAGATTTCCAGACAGCCAGGGATGACATCACAGAGCTTCCTGACCCCTGACCAGATGCCAGAGGAAGATAAGACCTCTAAATCGGTCCAAACTGGAACAGACGACCTCTGGTTGACTTTAGATCACTAATATTATCATTATAATGCTAAAATTCCCTCTCTTAGAAGAAAATCTCCATTTTGTGCACATGGGTTGTATGAAGACATATATTCATGAATTGAGCCTGCGTGTCTCGAGTCCCACCATGCACATGTTAACATTCCTCTCCCTTCCTGTACTCAGGGAAGGAAATAATAAAACGTTATGCTTTTTATTGTTGAGGGAGAAGGGGCTGTTAGAGCGAGAGCCTCTCCTTCTCCATCCCTGTCCAGTGGGTAAAACCCGATTGCCTTTTCCGATTGGATGTTCCTTCTTTGCCAGCTACACAAAGTGGGTAAAGAACTGGGTTTGCTGGTGGCATCCCAAGTAGCTGGGACTACAGGGAGTAAATGCTTTTATACCTCGCTTTTTAAAACGTATTGTTCCTGTGAACCAGTCTTTAAGTTATACCCAAGATTTCATGGCTCATGATGGTCCATAGTTTTCGCTCTTTAAATCAATAGCTGCATATCCCACGACGATTTTCCTTTGGGATGATTTCCCAGAACTGGAATTGCAGATTCTTGACAAATCTCCCAACTTTTCCGGTAAACACCGAGCTTTTCTCTAGACTAGCAACCGAGGCCGCAAGCAATTCTGCGGAACGTAGTGCAGATTTACAGAGAACGAGTCCCTTCGTCCTGTGTCGTAGTATTTCCGGCGGAAGTTGCTGGGCGTGGAAAGCCAGCAAGCCCTTCCGCAATCGTCGCTCCCGCGCGCACGTGGGCGACGCGTGAGGGCGAGGCCCCGCCTCCCCACGCCATTGGCCAGCAGCTCGTCGGGCACGCGTATACTGCGCTTCCGGGCACGCTCCGCCCCGCATGGCCTTCTGGGAGTTGTAGTTCGGTCGCGAGCGCTGCCGTCGGGAGGCTGCTCTGAGGACCGAGGCTGAACCCCGCGACCCCGCCTTCGGCGCTCGGCTCGCAGGATGGATCCCGTACCCGGGACCGACTCGGCGCCGCTGGCCGGCCTGGCCTGGTCGTCGGCCTCTGCACCCCCGCCTCGGGGGTTCAGCGCGGTGAGCGGCGTCGAGGGGCAGGAGGTCGAATAGGGGCAGAGGCAGCCGCTGTGGGGTGGGTGGGTGTCCGGCGCTGACCCGCATCCTCCCCGTAGATCTCCTGCACCGTCGAGGGGGCACCCGCCAACTTTGGCAAGAGCTTCGCGCAGAAATCTGGCTACTTCCTGTGCCTTAGTACTCTGGGCAGCCTAGAGGTAAGGGGCGCCCACCTTCAGGACCACTAGGGTCCGCCCACCTCCTCTGGGGTCACGATGCCCTATGCCAGGCGCGCTGTCTCCGCTGTTGGGCCACCCTCGCCGTGTCCCGCTTCCACCCGCAGAACCCGCTGGAGAACGTGGTGGGCGATATCCAGATCGTGGTGGACAAGAGCCCTCTGCCGCTGGGCTTCTCCCCGGTCAGCGATCCCATGGACTCCAGTAAGGCCTGCGTGGGAGGCGAGAGTTGTCTGGGTCCCTGCAGGGAGGAGCGGGGAGGAGGGACGACAGGCGCGCGGAATCTGAGCCTTGGCCACCCCCTGGCACTCGGGGTGATGACAGGGTTGACTGAGGACTCAGATCCCTGCCCTAGGGTGGACATCCCCTGTCCTGATTCAAAGTGTGTGCTGTGACTGGCACAGCCTCTGTTCTCGAGTTAAGAGTTCAGTCCACACCACCTGTTTTATTACTGCTGTCCTACCTGTGTCTCTTTACACCACGGACTAGCAAAACCACTGTGCAGTTCTCTTTTTAATTTCCAGCCTTTGCACACGCCATTTCCTCTGCCTGGAGCTCTTTTTCTCTCCTCTTTGCAGCTCATTCTTTGTTCTCCCTCAGGTGTTAGTTACCTCACCCTTCTTTTCCGGGGCCCACAACTCTAGTGGGGCCCTCCCAGCCCCACCGAACGTTCCCACCCTTTCTTGTCATTTTTATTTGATTCAGGCTCTATTCATTCATGGTAGAGTTGGCAAACTTTTTTTTCTTTATTTTTTTCTTAGAGTTGGCAAACTTCTTTTTAATTTTTTTTCTTTATATATATATTTTTTTAAAGAGATGGGGTTTCACCATGTTGGCCAGGATGGTCTCGATCTCCTGACCTTGTGATCCACCCACCTCAGCCTCCCAAAGTGCTGGGATTACAGGCATGAGCCACCCAGCCCAGCCTAGAGTTGGCAAACTTTTATGTAAAGGTCCTGATAGTAAATATTTTAGGTTTTACAGGATATTCTTTTTATTTATTTTTTTTTAACAATTCCTTAAAAACGTAAAAATCATTCTTAACTCATGAGCTGTATGAAACCAGGCCTTAGGCTGGGTGCAGTGGCTCACGCCTGTAATCCCAGCAGTTTGGGAGGCTGAGGCAGGCGGATCACCTGAGGTCAGGAGTTCCAGACCAGCCTGGCCAACATGGTGAAACCCCATCTCTACTAAAAATACAAAATTAGGCTGGGCTCAGTGGCTCACTCCTGTAATCCTAGCACTTTTGGAGGCCAAAGCGTGTGGATCACAAGGTCAGGAGTTCAAGACCAGCCTGGCCAATGTGGTGGAACCCCGTCTCTACTAAAAATACAAAAATTAGCCGGGTGTGGTGGCGGACATCTCTAGTTTCTACTACTCGGGAGGCTGAGGCAGGAGAATCGCTTGAACCCAGGAGGCAGAGGTTACAGTGAGCTGAGATTATGCCACTGCACTCCAGCCTGGGCAACAGTGCGAGACTCCATCTCAAACCAATAAAATAAAATAAAAATACAAAATTAGCTGGGCATGGTGGGGGGCGCCTGTAGTCCCAACTACTTAGGAGGCTGAGGCGGGAGAATCATTTGAACCCAGGAGGTGGAGGTTGCAGTGAGCCGAGATCGCGCCACTACACTCCAGCCTGAGTGTCAGAGTGAGACTCTATCTTAAAAAAAAAAAAAAGAAAAGAAAGAATAAGAAAACAGGCCTTGAGCCAGATTTGGCTCATGGGTGCTAGTTGGCCAACCTCTATAGGATTAGGGGACTCAGGGAAAGTAAGGTTTGAGGGCCAGGATGGGCACCCAGCTTTGTCTGAATCCACAGCTAGCCCCTCCATGAATGCACCTCCATATCACCAAAGATCAGCCTGCTCCAGTGGCCCCTAAAAGCTGCTTGGAATCCCCTCCTTCATCTGTACCACTGATGATTTAACCACTCCTCCCAACCCCCATCCCTAATGCTGTCCATGTGGCCGCCTTAAACAGCACCCTGGCGAGCCTCATCCTAGGGTCATCTTTGGGTACTCCCACTCTTTCCTGGCTTCCATCTCTCACTCCACTGCCACCCCCATCAGAGGCCTCTGTGTCCAAGAAGAAACGCATGTGTGTGAAGCTGTTACCCCTGGGGGCCGCGGACACCGCCGTGTTTGATGTCCGGCTGAGTGGGAAGACAAAGACGGTACCTGGATACCTTCGAGTCGGGTAGGCCACCCCCCGGTGTCCACTCACCTTCCTGCCCTCCCAGCTTGTGATCTCACCCTTCTGACCCCTGTGGTCTCTTCTGCCACCTTCCTTTTTTTTTTTTGAGATGGAGTCTGGCTCTGTCGCCCAGACTGGAGTACAGTGGCATGATCTCGGCTCACTGCAACCTCCGCCTCCTGGGTTCAAGCAATTCTCCTGCCTCAACCTCCCAAGTAGCTGGGACTATAGGCGTGCGCCCAGCTAATTTTTTTTTGTATTTTTAGTAGAGATGGGGTTTCACCATGTTGGCCAGGATACTCTTAATCTCCTGACCTCATGATCCACCCGCCTCAGCCTCCCAAAGTGCTGGGATTATAGGTGTGAGCCACCACGCCCGGCTCCTTCAGCCACCTTCTGAACCTCAGATTCTGCATGTTAAAACAGGGACATGGCCGGTTGTGGTGGCTCACACCTGTAATCCCAGCACTTTGGGAGGCCGGGGCGGGCAGATCACAAGATCAGGAGTTTGAGACCAACCTGGCCAGTATGATGAAACCCCGTCTGTACTAAAAATAGAAAACAATTAGCCGGGCATGGCGGTGGATACCTGTAGTCCCAGCTACTTGGGGGGCTGAGGCAGGAGAATCACCTGAACCCAGGAGGCGGAGGTTGCAGGGAGCCAAGATCACGCCACTGCACTCCAGCCTGGGCAATGGAGCGAGACTCCGTCTCAAAACAAACAAACAAACAAAATGGGACATGTGTACCCTCTTGTAGGACTGTAATTAGGAGTCAGTGACTAGGTGTCTAATGTAGACAGAAACTGGGCGCGGTGGCTCACTCCTATAATCCCAGCACTTTGGGAGGCCGAGGCTGGTGGATCACTTGAGACCAGGAGTTCAAGACCAGCCTGGCCAACATGGTGAAACCCTGTCTCTACTAAAAATACAAAAATTAACTGGGCGTGGTGGTGCACACTTGTAATCCCAGCTACTCGGTGGCTGAGGCACAAGGATTGCTTGATCCTGGGAGGTGGAGGTTGCAGTGAGTAGAGATTATGCCACTCCAGCCTGCACGGCAGAGTGAGACTCTGCCTCAAAAATAAAAATAAGGCCAGGCGCGGTGGCTCACGCCTGTAATCCCAGCACTGTGGGAGGCCGAGGCGGGCGGATCACAAGGTCAAGAGATTGAGACCATCCTGGTCAACATGGTGAAACCCTGTCTCAAAAAATAAAAATAAAAATTAGCTGGGCATGGTGGCAGGTGCCTGTAATCCCAGCTGCTCAGGAGGCTGAGGCAGGAGAATTGCTTGAACCTGAAAGGCAACGATTGCAGTGAGCCAAGGTCCCGCCACTGCACTCCAGCCTGGGCAACTTGACCAAAACTCCATCTCAAAAAAAAAAAAAAATCATCCCTTAAAAGACAAGGTCACCTGGAGGCCCAGGTGCCCTGCCTTCCCGGGGGCCATCCTCAACCCTGGCTCCACAGGGGGCCAGCACCCCTCCCACCTTCCCTCCCACTCCAGGGACATGGGTGGCTTTGCCATCTGGTGCAAGAAAGCGAAGGCCCCAAGGCCGGTGCCCAAGCCCCGAGGTCTCAGCCGGGACATGCAGAGCCTCTCTCTGGATGCACCCAGCCCGCCCAGGTGAGCCCTCAGGCACCACAGTGGGGGTGGCTGTGGCCCGAGGATGAGGTCTGACCTGGGTCGTCCCACCTTCAGCAAGGGCGGCCTCCTGGAGCGGACACTGTCAAGGCTGGGCCCTCGGGCATCCACTCTGCGGAGGAATGACTCCATCTATGAGGCCTCCAGCCTCTATGGCATCTCAGGTGAGCACAGAGTGGGGAAACGGAGGCACGGGGGTGGAGGGTGTGACTGGCTTGAGATTACACGGCCAGGAAGGGTCGATTCTGTAAAGACTGATAGCCGGGCTGTGTGGGGCGGGCCTCTCTGGGCAGAGTGGGCAGCTCCCTCCAGCGCACCTCCTCTCCGGGCATGTTTTTCAGCTATGGACGGGGTTCCCTTCACACTCCACCCCCGATTCGAGGGCAAGAGCTGCAGCCCCCTGGTGAGTCGGGTCTCCAGGAGCCAGGGTCTGTGCCTGCCATCACCACCCCGGGTGCCAGGGCATTCCTGTATCCAGCGCCTCAGCACTGAGGGCCATGTCCTGGGTTGAGGCTGGAGTGTGTCATCTCCAGGTGGCAGCTGGAAGGTCCTCAGTCTCAGAATGGGGAGGGATCCATCCGGAGAAGCAGGGGGACCCCAGTAGCTAGAGGCTGTGGCAGGAAGGGGGAGGGATGCTGGGCGAGCACCTGTGATCCCACCACTTTGGGAGGCCAAGGCAGGTGGATCACTTGAGGCCAGGAGTTTAAGATGAGCGTGGCCAACATGGTGAAACCCAGTCTCTACTAAAAATACAAAAATTAGCCGGGTGCGGTGGCTCATGCCTGTAATTCCAGCACTTTGGGAGGCGAGGTGGGCGGAACGACTGAGGTCGGGAGTTCAAGACCAGCCTGACCAACATGGAGGAATCCCATCCCTACTAAAAATATAAAAATAGCCGGGCATGGTGATACATGCCTGTAATCCCAGCTACTCGGGAAACTGAGGCAGGAGAATTACTTGAACCCGGGAGGCAGAGGTTGCAGGGAGCCGAGATCACACCATTGCACTCCAGCCTGGGCGACAAGAGTATTCGGCAGTTGGGGGGCCGGGGGGGACAGGACTCCTTGAATAGGAGGGAAAGAGGGTTTCAGGTTGGGATCGGGCCCAAGACTGACCCCCCTCTGCCCGCCAGACCTTCTCTGCATTTGGGGACCTGACCATCAAGTCTCTGGCGGACATTGAGGAGGAGGTGGGTGCAGGGCTAGGGAGGAGGTGCTGGAGGAGCTGGGACCCCCCATCCTGCCCCAGGCTGTCCCAGTCTTCCCCGTCTCCCCTTTCCCCCAGACACACCCATCTCTCCAGGACCGAAGACCACTTGAGTCCCTAAGTACCTCCCCCCCCATTCCTCAGTCACCCCCCATTTGGCCTTCCCTTCACTCTGGCCCCTGCTCACTCTTGCTCTCTCCTTCCCCAAGTATAACTACGGCTTCGTGGTGGAGAAGACCGCAGCTGCCCGACTGCCCCCCAGCGTCTCCTAGTCCCTCACCTGTCCGCAGAAAGCCCCTTTCCGCCACCCCCCTAGCCTGGAGGCCACCCCGCCTCATTACATCTTGGGAACCTCCGCCGTGCAAGGCATTTGCCATCTTCAGCCACTGGGCGGGGCTGCAGCCCTGGAGGAGGGGGCGGGTGGAGGCTTCGTGGTGATGGGGTCTCCACCCCCAGGCCCTGCCGGCGGGGCTGGAGCTGGACGGAAGCCAGTGCCTTTAAGTCATTCGTGTCAAAATCCTTTGGGGTCCGGAGGCCGCGCGGGGGTCCTGCCAATAAACACTACTGGTTCTTGCCCTCTGGAGTCCTGATCCTGCCGGGGGTCCACACCAGGCCGGTGGAACTGAGACTGCGGCTCTTGCATCGGGCAAGTGGGTGGAATCATGGTGGGGAGACGGTGCTGCTGGGTCTCGGTTTTTTTTGGTTTTTAGTTTAGTTTTTTTTTTTTCCCTGAAACGGTGTCTTCCTCTGTGGCCCAGGGTGGGGTACAGTGGCATGATCTTGGCTCACTGCAACCTCCGCCTCCAGGGTTCAGGTGATTCTCCTGCCTCGGCCTCCCGAGTGATTGGGATTACAGGCGCCCGCCACCACACTGGGCTAATTTTTTGTATTTTTCTATCGACAGAGTTTCACTGTGTTGGCCACCTCAGGTGATCTGCCTGCCTCGGCCTCCCAAAGTGCTGGGATTACAGGTGCCCGCCACCACATCTGGCTAATTTCGTATATATTTTTTTAGTAGAGATGGGGTTTTTGCCACATTGGTCAGGCTGGTCTTGAACCCCTGACCTCAGGTGATCCACCCTCCTTGGCCTCCCAAAGTGCTGGGATTACAGGCGTGAACCACTGTGCTTGGCTTGGGTCTCTCATTCTACAGAGCGGGAAACTGAGGCTCAGGGAGTGAGTAAGTCCAGATTCTAGATCATACAGAAGACCTCGTCGTCCTGGCCCTCCATCCTTGCGCATAATAATAAAACAAGCACTGCTCCAGTTGCAGTGGCCACACCCGCAACACACGACGCACCATTATTACCTCATTCAGTCTTCCCGCCAACCACTGGGAAACCCAGGTTTTGTCGCCATTTTCCAGATAGAAAAACTAAGATAGGAATCAAATCCAGAAATTTCTGTCTTTTTTTTTTTTTTTTTTTAATGGAGTCTCCCTCTGTCACCCACGATGGGTGCAGTGGCACAATCTCGGCTCACTGCAACCTCCACCTCCCAGATTCAAGCAGTTCTCCTGCCTCAGCCTCCCCTCCTGCCCCTTGCTGTCCAGTAGCTGGGACTACAGGCTTGGACCACCATAGCCAGCTATTTTTTTTTTTTTTTTTTTTTTTTTTTACTTTTAGTAGAGACGGGGTTTTACCATGTTGGCCAGGCTGGTCTCAAACTCCTGACCTCAGGCAATCTGCCCACCTTGGGCTCCCAAAGTGCTGGCATCATACGTGTGAGCCACTGTGCCCATCCCAGGCCACACCATTTTCATCCACCAATTCATACAACCTTGTTTTAGGTACTTTTTAAAAAGACACCTTATTTAATACCTATGGTGGATTCATTCACCTTGAACTCAGAGCCAACGTCACTGAAACTCATGTCTGCATGAAGCTTCTCTAAAACAGATTTTCTTCCTGAGGTGTATCACAGACTTTTTTTTTTTTTTTTTAGACAGAGTCTCACTCTGTGGCCCAGGCTGGAGTGCAGTGGCGCGATCTCGGCTCACGGCCACCTCTGCTTCTCCATCCCGGTTCAAGCCATTCTCCTGCCTCAGGTTCCGGAGTAGCTGGGATTACAGGCATGTGCCACCACGCCCAGCTAATTTTTGTATTTTTAGTAGAGACGGGGCTTCACCATGTTGGCCAGGCTGGTCTTGAGCTCCTGACCTCATGATCCGCCCGCCTCAGCCTCCCAAAGTGCTGGGATTACAGCTGAGAGCCAACCCTTTTTTTCTTTTTTTAATTATTTTATTTTTGGCGTGATTATAGCTCACTGCAGCCTTGACCTCCCAGGCTCAGGTGGATCCTCCAATCTCAGCCTCCTGAGTAGCTGAGACTACAGGCTACAATGGGCTAATTTAAACATTTTGTTAGTACTGATGGGGTCTCCCTGTATTGCCCAGGCTGGCCTTGAACTCCTGGCCTCGGGCCATCATCCTGCCTCAGCCTCCCAATGTGCTGGGATTACAGGCTTGAGCCACTGAGCGCAGCCATCATGGCCTTTGGCACTCAGGAACCCTGAACAGCATTTTGGTATCTGGGGCCATTTCAATAGCCAACAAAAACCACAAGAACGTGGCCGGGCACAGTGGCTCATGCTTGTAATTCTAGCACTTTGGGAGGCCAAAGCAGGTAGATCACCTGAGATCAGGAGTTCGAGACCAGCCTGACCAACATAGTAAAACCTCGTCTCTACCAAAAATACAGAATTAGCTAGGCGTGGTGGCGCGTGCCTGTAATCCTAGCTACTTGGGAGGCTGAAGCAGGGGAATTGCTTGAACCCAGGAGGTGGAGGTTGCAGTGAGCCGAGATCGTGCCATTGCACTCCAGCCTGGGCAACAAGAGTGAAACTCCGTTTAAAAAAAAAAAAAAAAATTCACCACCCTAAGCTCACGCCTTCTTTCTCCCGTGAGTGCACGCCCGTCGACGTGTACGGTGGCTGTTCTGCCGCTGTTTTTCCTCCTGGCTCTCGCAGCGTCGCAGTGGCCCATATTCTGCTGCAGCTGTCAACACCCACCCGATCTCTGCGGCTTAGAGAAGCTGGCCGGGCGTGGTGGCTCACGCCTGTAATCCCAGCAGTTTGGGAGGCCAAGGCGAGCAGATCACCTGAGGTCAGGTGTTAGAGATAGCCTGGCCAACATAGTGAAACCCCGTGTCACTAAAAATACTGGGCATGGTGGCACATGCCTATAATCTCAGCTGCTTGGGAGGCTGAGGCAGGAGAATCACTTGAACCGGGAGGTCAAGGTTGCAGTGAGCCAAGATGGCACCATTACACTCCAGCCTGGGCGACGAGTGCAATTCCTTCTTGGCGGGGGGAAGAGGGTCAGGCTTGGTGGCTCACACCTGTAATCCCAGCACTTTGGGAGGCCAAGGCGGGCGGATCACAAGGTCGAGAGATTGAGACCAGCCTGGCCAACATGGTGAAACCCCGTCTCTACTAAAAATACAAAAAAATTAGCCAGGCATGGTGGTGCATGCCTGTCGTCCCAGCTACTCAGGAGGCTGAGGCAGGAGAATTGCTTGAAACTGGAAAATGGAAGTTGCAGTGAGCCGGGATCGCACCATTGCACTCCAGCCTGGCGATACAGCGAGACTCCGTCTCAAAAAAAACAGAAAAGAAAAAAAGAAAACCTAAGGCTGTCACAGTTGGAGTCTCTCATCTGTAACCCTGACACTTTGGGGGCTGAGGCACGAGGATCACTTGAGGCCAGGAGATCGAGGCAGCAGTCTGCTGTGATTGCACCACTGCACTCCAGCCTGGGCCCAGAGTGAGGCCGTCTCTAAATAATTAAATAAGTCAGCTCCTGGGTGCAGAGCAGAGCCCCATCTCTAAGTAAATGAATAAATAAATAAATAGCAAAGCTAAGGCTTATTTCCCAGCAACAATAGACTTTGTTAGTTGTAGTGGTGCAGAATCCCGCCTAAGGGAAGGCCGTTATTTCATCTCACAGTGAGCGCAGTGTCGTCTAAAGAAACATCCTAGCTTTTAAATAAAGTTGGCCACCATGGTGGCTCCTGCCTGGAATGCCAGCACTGCCAGAGGCTGAGGTGAGAGGATCACTTGAGACCCTGGGAGTTTGAGACCAGCCTGGGCAACACAGCAAGGCCCTGTCTATACAGATTAAAAATTAGCCGGGCAAGGTGATGCATGCCTGTAGTCCCTGCTGCTCGAGAGGTTGAGGGGTGCAGTGGCTCCCACCTGTAGTTGCCTGAGTCTAGGAGGTAAGGACTGCAATTGTAGAGAACCAGAGTAGCCCACTCTCTCTGGGGGAGTCAGCAGCAAGGCTGCTGTGAACTTCGGGTGAACTCCAGAGAAGCCGACCCTTACTAGGGGAATGTGTATGTCTCGGAGAAGAGCAGAGAGGCCTAGAAAAAGATAACCAGCTCTCACTGACCTCGCTGCAAGATAGTTATTGGCTGAAGCATGTTAACTAAAGTGTGAGAATTTTAACCACAGGCTGTTCTAAGTAAGTGCACCCTCCCTCTGCAGTGTGCCTTGTAAACATATAAAATAAAGTACTCCGAGGCAGGTCGGGGCCGAAGAGACTGACATCATCAGCTTTTCGGACCGCCTGGCCCAGCTTTATATATGTCTGTCTGTATGTCTTTCTTTATGCCCCACTGTTTCCTCTTAGGTCTTTGAACCCTTGTGCAGCGTGGGACGCAGCGCACGCTGGAGCAGTGAGCTGTGACTGCATAACTGCACTCCAGCAAGACCCTGTCTCAAAAAAAGAAAAAAAAGAAAACCTAGGTCTGGATGCAGCAGTGGCTCACACCTGTAATCCCAGCACTTTGGGAGGCCAAGCTGGGAGGACCTCTTGAGCTCAGGAGATCAAGGATCGCCTGGGCAGCAGTGGAACACCATCTCTGTGAAAAACACACACACATATAATTCTGATTTTTTTTTTTTTTTTTTTTTTTTTTTTTTTTTTTGGAGACAGAGTTTCACTCCTGTTGCCCGGGCTGGAGTGCAGTGGTGTGATCTCGGCTCACCACAACCTCCGCCTCCTGGGTTCAAGTGATTCTCCTGCCTCAGCCTCCGGAGTAGCTGGGATTACAGGCGTGCACCACCATGCTTGGCTAATTTTTGTATTTTTAGTAGAGACGGGTTTCCCCATGTTGGTCAGGCTGGTCTCGAACTCCTAACCTCAGGTGATCCTCCTGCCTCAGCCTCCCAAAGTGCTGGGATTACAGGTGTGAGCCACGGCGCCTGGCCGCCTGATGATTGTTAAAAGTAAAGAAGACTTTATTCAAGACGACTACATGCCAGATTGAGCTCAACTCTGAATCCACAAAGTTGTTGACAAGTGGGGATTTACAGCCACGGAGCAGGGCGAGTGGGGTCAGTGGCTAGAAAATTAGAAAGGCTTGGGGAGTCATCTTAAACCCACTTAATAGGATCCTTGCTGCAGGCAGGCCAGGGCGATCAGATATCAAGAAACTGACTTAGCAGGATTCTTGCTAAGACTGGGTGAATCAGATCAAAGACAGGATGGGAGCCAAGGTCAAGGTCCAATAAAGGAGCGATTTCAGAGGACTCTGACTCAGGTTTGTCAAGAAGAGAGTCTTTGTCAGGGAGGAGACCTGGCCTGGCCTTGGGAATCTGAGAGGAGGGACAGTGAGCTCACCTGGAAGGGGAGGTGAGCGGGGATGATGCAAAATGTACCCCCTCTCCCCAAACTTTTCAGCTGCCTTGGAAAAACTAGGTCTCTGGTGCTAAGGCACCTGCCTGCCTTTCCCGGCTCCCAGCGCATGGGGCGTCTGCCAGGTCCCGCCCAGGCTCCTCTGGCGCCGGCCAGGGAATCCGATCCAGCCAGAAAGTAAATGACATTTATCCTCTCTGCCATCCTTCCCCGCTGCCCCGAAAGCAGCCCCAGATCTCATTTCAGGGCGTCTGTGTGTGACCGGGGGCCTGAGGATGATCCATCCTGGCCTTGGATCCGACTAGACCAATTGTCACTGATGACAGGGCCACTCACCCTGCAAAATCCCAGCCCTCTGAGCCCAGGCAGGCTTGGGGACTGCATCACACACGGGTTGGAGGGGCCCGATGGAGCTCTCCCCACCTGCTCCTGACTTGGGTCTCATCGATCCTAAAGTTTCTAGGCTGAGCTTACACTGTCTTGGGCTACAGAGGAGGAGTGAGCTGAGGCCCCCAGGAACCACAGCACTTGGTCCAGGATGCGGACCTATGCTTCTCTCCTTTTATTTTTTCTTTGAGATGGGGTCTCATTCTGTGGCCCAGGCTGGAGCACAGTGGTGCGATCTCAGCTCAGTGCCACCTCTGCCTCTTGGGTTCAAGCAATTCTCCTGCCTCAGCCTCCCGAGTAGCGGTGGTTCCAGACACCTGCCACCACACCTGGCTAATTTTGTATTTTTAGTAGAGATGGGGTTTCTCCATGTTGGTCAGGCTGGTCTCGAACTCCTGACCTCAGGTGATCCACTTGCCTCGGCCTTCCAAAGTGCTGGGATTGTAGGCGTGAGCCACTATGCCGGCCTTGTTTTATGTTTGTGTGTGTGGGAGGGAGCATGATGGCATGCCCATCTAATCCCAGCTTCTTTGGAAGCCGAGGTAAGAGAATTGCTTTAGCTAGGGAGTCCCATCTCTATGAAATAAAAAATACAAAAATTAGCCAGGTGTAGTGGCGTGCACCTATAGTCCCGGCTACTCTGGATGCTGAGTTAGGAGGATCGCTTGAGCCCAGGAAGTCGAGGCTGCAGTGAGCTATGATCACAACACATCATTCCAGTCTGGGTGAAAGCCAAACCCCTCTTTTTAAAAATGTTGAAGTGAAAATCACATTAACATAGAATTAACCATTTAAAAGTATACAATTCAGGCCAGGCGTGGTGGCTTATGACTGCAATCCCAGCACTTTGAGGGACCAAGGTGGGTGGATCACTTGAAGTTAGGAGTTCAAGACCAGCTTGGCCAACATGGTGAAATGCCATCTCTATTAAAAAGGTAAAAAGTAGCCAGGCATGGTGGCCCGTGCCTATAATCCCAGCTACTCAGGAGGCTGAGGCAGGGGAATCTCTTGAATCTGAGAGGTGGAGGTTGCAGTGAGCCGAGATCATGCCACTGCACTCCTGCCTGGGCAACAGAAGAAGACTATTTCAAAAAAAACCACAAAAACCAAAAATTAACTGGGTGTGGTGGCCCAAGCCTGTAATCCCAGCTACTCGGAAGTCTGAGGCAGAATTGCTTGAACCCGGGAGGCGGAGGTTATCTGAGGTGAGATGATGCCTGGGTCACAGAGCAAGACTCCATCTCAAAACCAAACCAAAACCAAACGAAAAAAATGGGTGGAACACGGGTCCCAGACTGGGGCCTACCAGGGCCATGCCCTGGGCCTCACTCCTGCCCTCCCCACACCCCACCCAAGTCTCACCCATGGGCCTGGGCTTCGTCACCCAGCACAATTGAATATTGATTAACACACAGATAGTGACTATCAGAGTTTATTTGTGGGTTATGCGAGACAGGAGACCTTTGGAGACCCCTCTGTCATTTCCTGGAGCCCCAGAAACTACGCATGTCTATACCCCAAGCAGCAGCAGCATGAGAACGATTAATACCCTTGAGGACCTATCGTGTCAGGGCCCCCCCAGAATGGCTCACATGAAGTCACGTGTCTTGTGGGAACCCTTGGAGGCGGGGCCCCTTCTTGTCTCCATATTACAGATGAGGAAACTGAGGCACAAAGCGGCTAAGCCCTCAGCCATGAGTCCACAGCCAGGAACCTGGGTCCAGCCCTCCAGCCACGCGCCTGGCCCTGGGCTGCTCTGAGCTTGGCACAGGGGGGTTTGAAATGGTCCCAACCTGAGGGGTGCAGCGGGGATTTGCAGAGTCTGAGACTTTCACATCAGCAGCTTGGAGATTACGGGGTTCAGGTGAGAATCCTGGCTCTGGCGCTCAGTCCTGGCCGTGGGCCCCCTGGTGAGTCACTGCCTCTCTTGGGGCCTCGGTTTCCTCATCTGTAAAATGGATGGAGACACTTAGAGAATCCTGCCTAAGCCCCCTGCTCCCCTTCTGCCAATAAGAGAGTCCCGTTCATCTGGGCAGCCACGTTCCCAGCCGCCCCTGCGGCAAGGTGTGGTCATTTCGCCCTGTTCTTGCCAGTGCGATATAAAAAGAAGGGTTACAGCTGGGTGCCGTGTGGTGGCTACCGCCTGTAATCCCAGCACTTTGGGAGGCCGAGGCAGGCAGATCGCCTGAGGTCAAGAGTTTGAGACCAGCCTGACCAAGATGGAGAAACCCCATCTCCACTAAAAATACAAAATTAGCCAGGCATGGTGGCACATGTCTGTAATCCCAACTACTCAGGAGGCTGAGGCAGAAGAATCTCTTGAACCCAGGAGGTGGAGACTGTGGTGAGCTGAGATCTCGCCATTGCACTCCAGCCTGGGCAACAGGAGCAAAACTCCGTCTCAAAGGAAAAAAAAAAAAAGTTTCAAGGCTTCCTGGGAAGACTTCTTCCAGGAGACCTCCAGCCAGCACTGGCCTCTGGCTTTCCCTCATAAGGAGGAGGTGAAGGCTGGAGCTCTGGCAACTATTTTGTGCCAGGAGGCAACCTTGAGGACAAAAGCCAAGGATGCAATGAGATGAGAGAAAAATCAAGTCCTTCTGCTACTGCAGCTGAACCTTAACCTATCTCTATGGTATCCTTTTCTTACACCAGGTCTCTATTCTTCATCCCTGGGCTCATACCAGTGTGGAGTCCTTCCCCTTGCTCCCCATGCTCCCCAGCCTGTGGCTCAGCATTCGATGCATCTCGTGGGTGACTCCGTCCCAGTGCCCCAGTCCGGCCGACAGTGTCCGGTGCATTCGGGGTGCAGGCAGGCCACTCTCCCAGCCTCCCCCCAGGGCTGCAGGTGCTGTGGCAGTGGCCATGGACCCAAGGGGATCCCCAGGTTCTGGATGGGTTGAATAGGGGGTCCGACGATGGGTACCCTGCTGAGGCTGAGCTCTGGGGCTGGCCTTGGAGACTTCGGCAGGGCGGGTGAGGTCATCTTCAAAGGATGGCGGGGACAACTCGTGGAGCCCTCGGCGGGTGGCCCGGGCGGCCCGGAGGAGAGTGTGGGTCAGCATGGCCACCAGAACCAGAGCGCCCGAGCTGAGGATGGAAGCGGCTGCTGCGCCTGTCTCGATCTCGAAAAGTAGCAAGGCATAGATGGACAGTGCTAGGGAAGGAAACGACTCTCATTTATTCAGTCAACAAACATCTCCCCTCCAAGCCCTCAGGGAACTCCTGCACACAGGGGGAAAATCACAAAAAAACCCTGCCACGTGATGGGCACATAGAATAAGCATCTAATCTTCCTACACCCACACGTGGCACATCATGATCACATCCATTTTACAGAGGAGAAAGCTGGGGCCCAGAGAAGTTAGGGGACTCCTCAAAGCCACGCAACCAGGAAGAGACAGAGGCGGAATTTTTTTTTTTTTTTTCTGAGACGAAGTTTCATTCTTGTTGCCCAGACTGGAGTGCAATGGCACAATCTCAGCTCACTGCAGCCTCCACCTCCTGGTTCAAGCGATTTTCCTGCCTCAGCCTCCCAAGTAGCTGGGATTACAGGCATGTGCCACCACACCTGGCTAATTTTGTATTTTTAGTAGAGATGGGGTTTCTCCATGTTGGTCAGGCTGGTCTCGAACTCCCAACCTCAGGTGATCCACCTGCCTCAGCCTCCCAAAATGCTGGGATTATAGGTGTGAGCCACCACACCCAGCAGAGGTGGGGTTCTAACCCAGGCTGGTCCACTCCAGGGTCTGTGCTCTGAAGCTCAGGGCTGCCTCCAAAGGTGACAACAGAAAGATACTCATTTCAGCGCTGTGGGCAGGGGCTGCCCTGAGGAGGAGCTATCTGAGCTGAGACCATGAGGAAGAAGAAGGAGCTCCTGGGAGAGTGGGGGAGGATGACGGCTGCAGGGACATAGTGCAGAGCTCCTAAGGTGGAAACACCCAGGAGTGTCCAAGGCTCAGAGAAAAGCAAAATGTGTTCTGACCGGGTGCGGTAAATCCCAGCACTTTGGGAGGCCAAGGCGGGAGGATCACTTGAGGTCAGGAGTTCGAAACAAGCCTGGCCCACACGATAAAACCCCGTCTCTAGGCCGGGCGCGGTGGCTCACGCCTGTAACTTTGGGAGGCCGAGGCGGGTGAATCACGAGGTCAAGAGATCGAGACCATCCTGGTCAACACGGTGAAACCCCGTCTCTACTAAAAAAAACTACAAAAAATTAGCTGGGCATGGTGGCACGTGCCTGTAATCCCAGCTACTCAGGAGGCTGAGGCAGGAGAATTGCCTGAACCCAGGAGGCGGAGGTTGCGGTGAGCCGAGATCGCGCCATTGCACTCCAGCCTGGGTAACAAGAGCGAAACTCCGTCTCAAAAAAAAAAAACAAAAAAACAAAAAAAAAACCCGTCTCTACAAAAAATATAAAAATTAGCTGGGCATGGTGGTGGGTGCCTGTAATCCCAGCTCCTTGGGAGCTGAGGCAGGAGAATTGCTTGAGTCTGGGAGATGGAGGCTGCAGTCAGCTAAGATGACACCACTGCAATCCAGCCTGGGTGACAGAGTAAGACTCAGTCTGAAAGAAAGAAGAAAGAAAGAAAAAGAAAGAAAGAAAGAAAGAGAAGAAAGAAAGAGAGAGAAAAGGAAAATGGGTTTTGTAGCTGGAGCAGAGCTGGGAGAGGTGGGGGACAGATGAGGAGTTAAGGAAGGAGTGGGTGTTGGGGACCAGATGGGGTGGGGGCCGCAGAAATGAGTGGGTTTTCTTCTTTTTTTTTTTTTTGAGACAGCGTCTCGCTGTCACCCAGGTTGGAAGGCAGTGACTTGGCTACGGCTCACTGCAGCCTCGACCTCCCCAGGCTCAGGTGATTTTCCCACCTCAGCCTCCCAAGTAGGTGGGACTATAGGTGCATGCCACCATGCCTGGCTAATTTTTTTTTTTGAGACAGAATCTTGCTCTGTCACCGAGGCTGGAGTACAGTGGCGTGATCTCGGCTCACTGCAACATCCACCTCCTGGGTTCAAGCGATTCTTGTGTCTCAGCTTCCCAAGTAGCTGGGATTACAGGCATGGACCAACACATCTGGTTAATTTTTGTATTTTTAGTGGAGACAGGGTCTCACCATGTTGGCCAGACTGGTCTCGAACTTCTGATCTCAAGTGATCTGCCCACCTCAGCCTCCCACAATGCTGGGATTATAGGCGTGAGTCACTGTGCCCGGCCTAATTTTTGTATTTTTAGTAGAGTTTGCATTTGGCCTTGTTGCCTAGGCTGGTCTCGAACTCCTGAGCTCAAGTGATCCCCCAGCTTTGGCCTCCCAAAAGGGCTGGGATTACAGCGGTGAACCACTGCTCCCCACTGCGTTTTCTTCTAAGAGCAATGAGTAACCAAGGGGTATGTTGGAGCTGGGGAGGAACAGGACCTGCTCTCTCTATATATATTTTTTGAGACGGAGTCTTGCTCTGTCACTCAGGCTGCAATGGCACGATGGCTCACTGCAACCTCTGCCTCCCAGGTTCAAGTGATACGGCTGCCTCAGCCTCCTGAGTAGCTGAGACTACAGGCATGTGCCACCATGCCTGGCTAATTTTTTGTATTTTCAGTAGAGACGGGGTTTCACCATGTTGGTCAGGCTGCTCTTGATCTCCTGACCTCGTGATCTGCCCGCCTCAGCCTCCCAAAGTGCTGGGACTACAGGCATGAGCCACTGGCCCGGCTTTTTTTTTTTTTTTTTTAAGATGGAGTCTCGCTCTGTTGCCCAGGCTGGAGTGGTGTGATCTCAGCTCACTGCCACCTCCGTCTCCTGGGTTCAAGCAATTCTCCCACCTTAGCCTCCTGAGTAGCTGGGACTACAGGTGCCTACCACCATGCCCGGCTGATTTTTTATATTTTCAGTAGAGACGGGGTTTCATCCTGTTAGTCAGTCTGGTCTTGATCTCCTGACCTCGTGATCCGCCCACGTCAGCCTCCCAAAGTGTTGGAATTACAGGCATGAGCCACTGCGCCTGGCTACCTGCTCTATCTTTTAAGAAGCCTTCCCCTTGGTGGGATACCCCATATGAGGGAATAGGCTGCAGGCATGAAAGGGATGAAGCACTGTTCCATGCCACAATGTGGACGATGTGAGTGACAGATGGCAGATCAAGTGGCCACAGAGCGTGAGATGCTATTGACCTGAAATGTCCAGGACAGGCAAATCTAGTCTGGGCACCGTGGCTCACGGTTGTCATCCCAGCACTTTGGGAGGCCGAGGTGAGTGGACTGAGACCAGCCTCACCATGTTGGTCAGGTGTTCGAGACCAACATGGTGAAACCTCATCTCTACTAAAAATGCAAAAATTATCTGGGCAGGGTGGCATGCACCTGTAATCCCAGCTACTTGGGAGGCCAAGGCAGGAGAATTGCTTGAACCCAGGAGGTGGAGGCTGCAGTAAGCCCAGATTGCGCCACTGCACTCCAGCTCCAGCCTGGGTGACAGAGCAAGACTCCATCTCAAAAAAAAAAAAAAAAAAAAAAAAGGCAAATCCATAGAGACAGTAGATTAGCAACTGCCAGGGATGAGGAAGGGGGAAAGAGGAGTGATTGCTAATGGGGACAGGGTTTCCTGTTGGGTGACAAAAATATTCTGGAACCAGATATTAGCGATGGTTAGCTAAAACCGTGAATGTTCTAACTCCCACTGAATTGTACACTTTAAAGTGGTTAAAGGCTGGGCATAGTGATTCACACCTGTAATCCCAGAACTTTCGGAAGCCGAGGTGAGAGGATTGCTTGAGGTCAGGAGTTGGACACCGGCTCAGGTAACATACAGAGACCAGTCCTACAAAAAATAATAAACAATCTGGGAATGGTAGTGCTTGCCTGTAGTCCCAGCTAGCTGTGGGGCTGAGGCAGGAGGACTGCTTGAGCCCAGGACAAAGAAAGCTGCAGTGAGCTGTGATCACACCACTGCACTCCAGCCTGGGTGACAGCGACACCCTGTCTCAAAAAATAAAAACAAAATACACTGGTTAAAATGCTAATGTTTTTATTATGTGTATTTTGCCACAGTTAAAACTGCAACCTAACTAGTCACGGCGGTGCATGCGTGTAGCCCCAGCTACTTGGGAGACTGAGGCAGGAGGATAGCTTGAGCCAGGAGTTCAAGTCCAGCCTGTGCCACACGGCGAGACCCTGTCTCTGCTAAAAATACAAAAATGAGCCGGGCGTGGTGGTGCACGTCTGTAATCCCAGCTACTTGGGAGGCTAAGGCAGGAGCATCGCTTGAACCTGGGAGGTGGAGGTTGCAGTGAGCTGAGATCACTCCACTGCACCCCAGCCTAGGCGACAGAGCAAGACTCTCTGAGGGTGGGGAGAGGGGGAAAGGGACTTTGAGCACCTGAACTAGCTAGCCTTCTATCAGCCTCTCCAGCATACAATTTGGCCCCGTTAGCAGCTTCTACCCACTAGATGTCAGTAGCGTCCCACCCTCAACTCCATGGCGCCCACCAAAAAGGTCTCTAGGCAGTGAAAAAAAGCCTTCTGAGGCCAGAATCACTCTCCATTGAGAATCCCTGGTCTGGCCCCTATCTCTACATTGGCGAATGGACCTGAGATCACAGGCCCACTTTGACATCAGTGATGTCCTCATTGGACCAGGCTCAGCCAATCAGAGCATTTATTACGTCTCCTGATGTTAGTGATTGGTGGAGGAATATTACATGGCCCAAGCTCAGCCTATCAGAGTCAGTCTTGGGACATTAGCCTGGGCTATTGGGACAGAGCAATTTTCCTGTAGCGTCTGGGGTGTTGGTATTAGCAGGAGAGGGGCCCAGAACAGATGGGGGACTTTTTTTTTTTTTTGACACTTTCCAGGCTGTGTTTTTGTTTGTTTGTTTTGAAACAGAGTCTCGCTCTGTTGCCCAGGCTGGAGTGCAGTGGCGTAGCGTGATCTCGCTCAGGTCACTGTAACCTCCGCCTCCCGGGTTCAAGTGATTCTCCCGCCTCAGCCTCCCAAGTAGCTGAGACTACAGGTGCCCGCCACCATGCCTGGCTCATTTTTGTATTTTTAGTAGAGACAAGGTTTCATCATACTGGCCTGGCTGTTCTCGAACTCCTGACCTTGTGATCCGCCTGCTTCGGCCTCCCAAAGTGCTGGGATTACGCGCGGGAGCCACCGCGCCTGGCCCTTTCCAGGCTGTTTTTATGCGTTCTCTGGCTCCGTACTATTGTTTTGGAAGATAACCACACTACAAGATGTCTGACATGTGAAAGCAAGGCCAAGGACTTTTCTTCCTTTTTTTTTTCTTCTTTTTTTGCTGGAAACATTTTGAAAGAGATTTTGTAATTATTCTTTTAGTTCTAGCTAGCAATGAATGGATGATTAGTTGGACGTGCTTGGGAATTCTTGCTGAATGAGGTCACCTAGCCTCAAAAACAATCTAAATAGGAGGTGAATGAATTCTCAATTTTACGCTTAGTGAGGCTGACATAATATTACCTTTTTTTTTTCTTTTGTAATTGTTCTTGTATTTTAGAATGAGGATATTCCCTAAGTCTTGAATATTTCTGTTGGCCTGTGCAAAGACCCAAGCTCCAGGCATCATGTCAGAAGGGCCTACATACAGGCATCTTTCCCAGAGAGAAGCCCACTTAGGGAACAGCAGATGAAGCGGTGAAGTGAGAAGCATTTCTTTTTCTTTTATTATTATTATTATTGAGACAGAGTCTCTCTCTGTCACCCAGGCTGGAGTGCAGTGGCGTGATCTCGGCTCACTGCTCTGCCTCCTGGGTTCAAGTGATTCTCCTGCCTCAGCCTCTTGAGTAGCTGGGACTATAGGTGTGTAGCACCACACCTGGCTAATTTCTTTTTTCTTTTCCCTCCCTCCCTCCCTCCCTTCCTTTCTTCTTCTTCTTCTTTTTTTTTTTTTTTTTTTGATGGCATCTCACTCGGTCGTCGCCCAGCCTGGAGTGCAGTGGTGGGATCTCGGCTCACTGCAACCTCTGCCTCCTGGGTTCAAGCGATTCTCCTGCCTCAGCCTCCGGAGAAGCTGGGATTACAGGGGTTCAACACAATGTCTGGCTAATTTTTGTATTTTTAGTAGAGATGGGATTTCACCATGTTGCCCAGGCTGGTCTTGAACTCCTGACCTTAAGTGATCCATCCGCCTCGACCTCCCAAAGTGCTGGGGTTACACCACACCTGGCTGAGAGGCATTTCTCATAACCAATTTTAGTACCTGGATCCAGCCACACCTAAGGCCAACTTCCCCCGATAATTTCTGATGCATGAGTCATCTATCCCCTCTTCTTCTTCTTCTTTTTTTTTTTTTAAGCTCTACATCTGGAGCCTTTCATTAAATCAAACAACAAAAGTTATGCAGCATTTCCTGCACTTCATATATATAAATTTCCACAGTGAATTTTAGGCTCACATCTCATTAAAAATATTTTAAATCTATCTATTTTTTAGATGAGGTTTCACTCTGTTGCCCAGGCTGGAGTACAGTGGTGCGATCTCAGCTCGCTGAAACCTCCATCTCTCAGGTTCAAGCAATTCTCCTGTCTCAGTCCACCACCATGCCCAGCTATTTTTTTTTTTTTTTTATCTTTTTTTTTTTTTTTTTTTTTTTTTTTTGTATTTTTAGTGGAGAAGGGGTTTCAGCATGTTGGCCAGGCCGGTCTTGAACTCCTAACCTCAAGTGATTCACCCACTTTGGCCTTCCAAAGTGCTGGGATTACAGGTGTGAGTCACTGCACCCGGCCTAAATATCTTTTTAGACTTCTATTTTTCTATGGTGGACTCTGAAAAAAATAGTAATAGCAAATCCTGCTTTTTAATCAGCAGGATATTTTTTCTTCCTGTAAAATGGATCATTTACAGGGCTGGCAGGGACTTATGTATGATTCAGCGTTGAGTCTGCAGCATCATCAACACATCTGTTTCAAGATTAAAACCAAATATAAGGCATTAGGAGTCCTGTGAAAGACACTTAATGATTTGATTTCTTTCCCAGCCCCGATGAATGAAAGAAAGCTGATTGAAGAACAGTTATTACAAATCAGGAAGGAAAGACAGTGTGGTGTGTTCTGGCATCTGGGTAATTTTTTTTTTTCTTAAGCCATTTTTGGGCTGGAAATTGATTTTTATTTTCCCTTGAGACAGAGTCTCATTCTGTCAGCCCGGCTGGAGTGCAGTGGTGCAATCTCGGCTCACTGCAACCTCCACCTCCTGGGTTCAAGCAATTTTCTGCCTCAGCCTCCCAAGGAGTTGGGATTACAGGTTCGTGCCATCATGCCCGGCCAAGTTTTGTATTTTTAGTAGAGACAGTGTTTCACCATTTTGGCCAGGCTGGTCTTGAACTCCTGACCTTGTGATCCACCCACCTCGGCCTCCCAAGGTGCTGGGATTACAGGCGTGAGCCACCGTGCTGGGCTGGAAAGTGATATTTATAATCCAAATACTCATTTCATTTCAACCTGTGAAATGCTATCTTCTTTTTTTTTAAAAAAACGGAGTTTCACCCTTGTTGCCCAGGCTGGAACGCAGTGGCTTGATCTTGGCTCACTGCAACATCTGCCTCCTGGGTTCAAGCAATTCCCCTGCCTTAGCCTCCTGAGTAGCCGGGATTACAGGCACCCACCACCAAGCCCAGCTAATTGTTTTGTATTTTTAGTAGACACATGGTTTCACCATGTTGGCCAGACTGGTCTGGATCTCTTGACCTCATGATCCGCCTGCCTTGGCCTCCCAAAGTGCTGGGATTACCGGCACGAGCCACTGCGCCCGGCTGAAATGCTTTCTTTAGATACCACCCAGGCCATGAAAATTTTTGTTCAAACCAAATGTACAAAACTGATGAATCGGGCACGGTGGCTCACACCTATAATCCCACCACTTTGGGAGGCCGAGGTGGGTGGATAACCTGCAGTCGGAAGTTCGAGAGCAGCCTGGCCAACATGGTGAAACACCATCTCTACTTAAAATACAAAAAATTGGCCAGGCATGGTGGCAGGCATCTGTAATCCCAGCTACCTGGGAGGCTGAGGCAGGAGAATCGCTTGAACCCAGGAGGCAGAGGTTGCGGTGAGTGGAGATCGCGCCACGGCACTCCAGTCTGGGTGACAGAGCAAGACTCCATCTCAAAAAATAAATAAATAAATACATGAATAAAATAATAAATAAATAAATAAATCTCAGAATCTCCTCAAGTGATTCTGTGAGGTAAAGACAGTTATTCCCAGTGTACTGCTGAGGAAATCAAGGCACAGAGAGATTTGTCCAAGGCATCAAAGCAAGGAAGCATCAGAGCCTGGAGCTGAACTCAAGCAGGCTGTCTGTGAAGCTGATCGCAGTTAGGGGACCATTACTGCTCTCTACCCCACCCAGGACCCTATGCCCCACGTTCTATTCCAGCACACACCTGCTAAGTAGACGGAGACCCCGCAGCAGAAAAGGCCAAGGGCCACGTGTCTGAGGAGGCGGCAGTCGTAGAGAAACCAGTCAGACCTGGGATGGAGGGGAACAGGAAGAAAAAGGACTCAGGAAGTGGAGCTGATGGGGGAGGTCAGTAAGGAGAGGGAGGGAGAGCTGTTTAAATGAGACAAGGACCCAGCTTTCAGGGACCAAAAATCTGGAGTACCTAACTATCATCCTTCTACTTGCCCACACATTTACATTCATTTACTTATCCACTCTCCATCCATCCATCCATCTACCCACCCATTTATCCACCCATTCATCCATCTGTCTACTCATCCATCCATCCATCCACCCACCCATCCATTCATCTGCCCATTCATCCATCCATCCTTCCATTCATCCATCAGCTCATCCATCCACCAGCGCATCCATCCATCCACCCACCCACCCACCCACCCATTTATCCATCCATCCATTTATCCACCCATTCATCCATCTGTCTACTCATCCATCTATCCACCCACCCATCCATTCATCTGCTCATTCACCCATCCATTCACTTATTCATCCATCCATCCACTTGTCCATCAGCCCAGTCACCCATCTACTTATTAGTCATCCATCCATCCACTTATTAGTTCATTCATACGTCAATTTATCCATCTCCATCCATCAGCCCCATCCATTCATTGAGCCACACAATCATTTAGACACCCACCGTCCACCCATTCGATATCTATCCATTTATCTATGCTCCACCCATCCCCCGTTCATTTTTCCAAGTCAGTGTCCACCATCCATTTTTCATCCATATTCATTGATTATGCAACCAGCACTCATATACACTCTTCCATCCATTTAACCGTGCGCTATTAATCCATCTATCCATTCATTCCAACACCCTCCACTATCCTATCTGTCCATCCCTCACCCACCCATCCACTGATCATCCATCTCCCATTCGCTATCCATCCATCCTCATCCCTTCCTTCCTTCCTTCCTTCTTCCCACCTACCTTCCTTCCTTCCTTCCCTCCCTCCCTCCCTCCTTCCTTCCTTCCTTCCTTCCTTCCTTCCTTCCACCATCCATTCTCTTCCCCTTATAATCCACCTATATACATGAGTCCACTTAAACACCCAGCACTTGGGAAGCAGCTACTACGTGCAGATACTTGCTGCACACCTGGCTTCCATTATTTTACAGACCACAGGCTTCCTTGAGAGATGAGGAAACAGTTTCACGTGCTATTATTGACGGTACAAACAGCGACTCCAAGAGATGACACTGATTGAGGAGGAAATGGAGACTCTGAGAGCTTCCATCCTTACTCGGCTCCCATTAGTATAATGAAAGTGGATGCCTTCCCGGTCTTCCTGCTGCCTTCCCTCCTGTCCCCTTTTCAGCACAGTGGCTAGAGGTGGTCATTTGAAACCTAAATCAGATCACCTTCCTCCTCACTCACAACTCTCCTAAGCAGGAGAAATCCCGAAGTCCTGTCCCATCTCTGTTTTCTTTTCTTCCTGACGCTCATCACGATCTGCCATTATTATTATTATTAGAGATGGGGTCTCACTATGTTGCCCAAACTGAAGCCCAGTGGTTATTCATAAGCACGATCATGGCTCACTGCAGCCTTGACTTCCTGGGTTCAAGGAATCCTGCCTCAGCCTCCCAAGTATATGGGACTACAGGCATGCACCACTACACCCAGCTAATTACACTTTCTTTTTCTTTTTTGGAGACAAAGTTTCAATCTTGTTGCCCAAGCTGGAGTGCAATGGTGCGATCTCAGCTCACCGAAATCTCCACCCCTCCACTCCCAGGTTCAAGAGATTCTCCTGCCTCAGCCTTCTGAGTAGCTGGAATTACAGGCATGCACCACCATGCCCGGGTTTTTTTAATTTTAATTTTAATTTTTAGTAGAGATGGGGTTTCTCCATGTTGGTCAGAGTGGTATTGAACTCCAGACTTCAGGTGGATTCGCCTGCCTCAGCCTCCCAACGTGCTGGGATTACAGGCGTGAGCCACTGTGCCCAGCCATTAAATTTTTTTCTTTTTGTAGAGATAAGGTCTTGCTATATTACCCAGGCTGGTCTCCAATTCCTGGCCTCCCAGCACTTTGGGAGGCCATGGAGAGTGGATCATTTGAGGTCAGGAGTTCAAGACCACCTGGCCAACATGAGTTGGGAGAATCGCTTGAACCTGAGAGGCAGAGGTTGCAGTGAGCCGATACAGCACCATTGCATTCCAGGCTGTCTCAAAAAAAAAAAAAAAAAAAAAAAAAAAGAAAGAAAAAAAGGTATTCCTGGCCTCAAGTGATCCTCCTGCCTCTGCCTCCCAAAGTGCTGGGAATGCAGGTGTGAACCACCACGCCTGGCCCCTGTTGTTTCCTTATTTTCTGTGACTCCATGAGAGCAGATCTGGGTGCACTTGTTCCCTGCTGTGTCTCTGATGCCCTGAGCCAGACACAGCCCCTGCAGGCAGGCACCCAACACACATTTGCTGACCCGGGACCACGTATTTATTTCATTGTCCCTTGGGTGGAAGCTGTGTGGTCTGGACGAATCTACCCCAATGGTGGAAGTTCTCATCTGCTCAATTTCACAGAATTCTGGACCAGTATTTGGGCTCCTCTCTCCCGGCATTACACTACCACGTGGGACAGCAGAGTCCTGGGCTCAAAGAGGGTTCCTCCTTCCACAACTACTGCCCCTGAGAGAGTCCCCTCAATGACCACATCCCTGAGTTCAGGTCCCTGAGAAAGGACCTCAATTCCAGGCCAGGACACAGGCTCCGGATGGCTCTACCCAGAACCAAGTTCAAGTCCAGCACTCCCCCGCCCCCCCCCCCACTTCCAAGCCAGACGGCCTGAGAGCTCAGCCTCCCCTGTTTGAGATTCAGGCAAACTGATCCTGGGCCCTCTGTGAGCCTCAGTTTCCTCATCTGCAAAACGGGGGACACATCAGTGGCTGCACCCGCTGCAAAATTTAACAAATATAGAATGGAGGGAGGGAGGGGGGGAGGAAAAGAGGAGGGCGGAGATGCATGGGGTGGCGGGGAGAGGGGGGAAGGGAAGTGGGGAGGGAAGCTGTCCCCCCAGCCTGAGGCCAAAAGAGGGGAAGAGGCTCATCCAGGCTCCCCTAGCCCCCAGCCGAGCCTCTAGGGCGGTGAGGCCGGTCCTCCTACCTCCTGGGGCCAGGCCCCCGCGCCAGCTCGGCGCCCAGGTGGCCACAGAGCGCGGCGAGCAGCAGGCAGGTGAACGCCAGCACGAGCACCAGCGCGGCCAGCGCGGCGGCCAGAGGCAGCAGCGCCCCGGCCGCGTCCTCGGGCAGCCCGGGGCCGGCGCCCAGCTCCCGGCCCAGCCCGTCGGCGCGCAGCCCCCGCAGCTCCGCGCGGCCCGCCTGGAGCTGGAACAGCAGCTGCGCGCTCAGCGCCGCCAGCACGGCCGCCGCGATGCCCAGCAGAGTCACCGCGGCCAGCACCCGGCCGCCGTACGAGCGGGCCATGGCGGGGCTCCTGCGGGCCCGGGGAGCAGGTGAGGGATCCAAGTGGTTTTAAGGGGCAGGGGAGTTGGGGGGAGTCCAAGGGCCCCCGGGGGGTCCCCGAGGGGCGGGGCCGCAGGGAGTGTATGCAAGTTCGGGGGCTGGGCTGGGGGTCGCCGGACGGACGTGGGCTCCGGGGTGCTGGTCGCAGCGGGGACACCGAGTCTCCGCGAAAACTTGGGACAAAGTCTTTTCTCTTCCCTCCCGGGGCCCCGCGGGCGCCCCCTCTGGATCAGCTGGGCCTGGCAGGCGGGGCCTGGCGCGGGGCTCGGGGCTCGGGGCGGGGCCCCACGAGGGGCTGGATCGTGGGAACCCCGTGGCTCTCTAAGTTCGGAAAGGGACACCACCCCGCCCCCTGCCGCCCTAAGTATCGATTTTATTGTTGTTAAAACAAGAAAGAGAAAGGGGCCGGGCGCGGTGGCTCACGCCTGTAATTCCAGCACTTTGGGAGGCTGAGGCTGACGGATCACTTGAGGTCGGGAGTTCGAGACCAGCCTGGCCAACCTGGTGAAACCGCGTCTCTACTGAAAAAGCAAACCAAAAAAGTCAAAAAAAATTATATTGGGAGGATTGATTGCTTGAACCCAGAGACGGAGGTTGCAGTGAGCTGAGATTGCGCCACCACACGCTCCAGCCTGGGTGACAGAGTGAGACTCCGTCTAGAAAAGCGAGCGAGAGAGAAAGGGCTAGGTGAGGTGGCTCGCACCTGTAATTCCAGCACTTTGGGAGGCTGAGGCAGGAGGATGGCTTGAGCCCAGGAGTTTGAGACCAGCCTGGGCAACATAGCCAGACCCCATCTCTACAAAAAATAAGGAAGTTAGCCTGGTATGGTGGGGTGCACCTGTGGACCCAGCTACTTTCGAGGCTGAGCCAGGAGGATGGCTTGAGCCCAGGAGGTCGAGGCTGCAGTGAGCTGAGATCATGCCACTGCACTACAGCCTGGGCGACAGAGCAAGGCTGTGTCTCAGAAAAGAAATAACAAAATTGAAAAATTCACTTTGTCATTTGATATCAACCCAGGGACTCTGTCATTGACTACTATTTCCCCTCCGCTTACCTCCTTCCCTCCAGGAGGCTAGGGAGAGTCCTGGTTCCCTTCCCCAAATTATTCCCACAGCACTTTAAACAAATTGAGAAACAGAAAATTAACCATTTTATTCAGTGGCATTTAGAGTTGTACAAGCATCACCTCTGTCTAGTTCTAGAACATTTTCATACCCCCAAAAGGAGACCCCGTCCCCATTAGCGGTCACTCCTCATCCCCTGTCCTCAAATAGCTGACAACCATTAATCTACTTCCTGTCTCTGTGGATTTCCCCGCTCTGGATATTTCATAGCAATGGACTTGTACAAGAGGTGGCATTCTGCTTCTGGTTTCTCTCACTCAGCATCATATACTCAAGGTTCATCGAGGTTGTAGCATGGATCAGTGCCTCATTCCTTTTTACAGCTGCATAATATTCCGCAGTGTGTCAGGAACACATTGTGTCCATCCATTCATCCATTGATGGGTATTTGGTTGTTGCTTCCTTTTGGCGAAGGTGAGTAATGCTGCTATCAACATTTGTGCACAGGTATCTTCTTGAGTCACTGCCGTTCATTCTTGTGGGGAGTGGACTCCTGGGAGTGGAGCTGCTGAGTCACATGATTACTCGAATTTAACTATTTGTGAAACCCTCAAACTTTTCCACAGCAGCTGCACCCGTTTTCCATTTCCACCAGCAATGTCTGAGGTTTTTAAAAATAATTTTCTCCACATCCTCGCCAACACGTGTTTCCTCCTGCCCTCCTCCTCCTCCTCCTCATTCTTCTTCTTCTTCTTTTGTCAGGGCCTTGCTCTGTCACCCGGGCTGGATTTCGAATTGCAGTGGTGTGATCATAGCTCATTACAGCCTCGACCTCCTCAGCTCATGTGATCTTCCTGCCTCAGCCTCCCAAGCAGCTGGGACTACAGGCAAGCATCACCACGCCTGGCTAAAATTATTATTTTTTTTTGAGGAGGAGTCTCACTCTGTTGCTAGGCTGGAGTGCAGTGGCCTGATGTTGGCTCACTGCAACCTCCACCTCCCGGGTTCAAGCAATTCCACTGCCTCTGCCTCCCTGGTAGCCAAGACTACAGGCACGTGCCACTGCGCCCGGTTAATTTTTTGTATTTTAGTAGAGATGGGGTTTCACCATGTTGGCCAGGATGGTCTCGATCTCCTGACCTTGTGATCTGCCTGCCTCAGCCTCCCAAAGTGCTGGGATTACAGGCGACCACGCCCAGCTGCTTTTTGTAGAGATGGGGTCTTGCTATGTTGGTCTGGTCTCAAACTCTTTATACCTAAGTGATTCTCTCACCTCAGCCTCCCACAGTGCTGGGATTACAGGAGTGAGCCACCACATCCAGCCTCCTCCCTCATAATAGGCATTTTTTTTTTTTTTTTTTTTTTTGAGACAGAGTCTCTCTGTTGCCCAGGCTGGAGTGCAGTAGTGAGATCTCAGCTCACTGCAACCTCCACCTCCCGGGTTCAAGCGATTCTTTCCCCAGCCTCTGGAGTAGCTGAGATTACAGGTACCCACCACCTAACTCAGCTAATTTTTGTATTTTTAGTGGAGATGGGGCTTCACTATGTTGGCCAGGCTGGTCTCAAACTTCTGACCAAAAGTGATCCTCCTGCCTCGGCCTCTGAAAGTGCTGGAATTACAGGTGCGAGCCACCACACCCAGCCAGTTAAAAAAATTTTTTTGTAGAGATGGGGTCTTGCTATGTTGGTCTCGTCTCAAACTTCTTATGCCCAAGTGATCCTCTCACCTCAGCCTCCCAAAGTGCTGGGGGTTACAGGGGCGAGCCACCTCACCCAGCCTCCTCCTCCCTGATAATGGTCATTCTGGTGCTTATAAAATAATAGCTTATTGTGGTTTTTATTTGCATCTCCCTAATAACTAATGATATTGAGCATCTTTTCGTGAGCTTTTTGGCAGTTCACATACCTTCTTTGGAGAAATGTCAGTTAAAGTCCTTTCTTCATTTTAATTTAATTAATTTTTCATAGAGATGGGGTCTTACTATGTTGTCCAAGCTAATCTGGAACTCGTAAGCTCAAGCGATCCACCCTCCTGGACCTTCCAAAGTTCTGGGATTACAGGCATGAGCTACTGCGCCGGGCCTGGAATTGATTATTTTTTTCAGGTTTGAAATTTTTGGGGTCCCTTGAGAACAGTTTGTGGGCCCTGCGCCCTCAGCCTTGTAGGTAAAATGGCCCTAAGGAAGAGTATGGGGTGACCCTTCACTTCCAGGGAGCCTCCTTTGCTGTGTGACTTTGGGCACATCCCTTAACCTCTCTGGGCCTCCTCATCTGTAGGAGGAACCTGTTCCTTCTTTCAATTCATTCATTCATTCATACATCAGACCTCAGTCCAACACTCACTCTTTCATCATCACCAGTATTAGGGTGAGTTTTCCACATTTTTCAGGTAAGGAAAAGTCCCAAGTTGAGGGGCTCAGCAATTCATTAGGATCAGGGCTCCAGTTTTGCTCTGGGTCCTGGGAATACAGAGATGTATGATACTTTCATTTATTCATTCAACAAACACCAGTGGAGATCCCGTCTGTGTGCTGGGCTCTGAGGACCAAGGGGTGACCAAGACAGGCCCAGCTCTCCCTTCTGGTGCTCACAGCCTGGTGAGGGAGGTGGAAACACACATGAAACCCCACCATAAGGGGGTTTCATGGCCAAAATTCATTACAGTGCTGTCTTAGGTTTTGCCATTATTTGTTGGGGGTTGGGGGAACACAGATACCAAGGTCTGGTCCTGCTGTTTGTATGTGAGATGACTCTCTAGTTTGGGGGTGTCTGGCTCCAACTTGGAAAGTTAACCCTGCAAGCAGGCTCCAAGGTGAGCTATCTACCTTGGCCTTTTGCTAAGTGCCCTTCTCATTCCAGCTCAGACAGGCAGGGAGTGGGGAGGCAGAGAGGGAAGGAGAAGGCTCCAAGCCTTCCAGCATACAGTCCAAGTCACACAGCCCGACAGGGACAGAGAGTGGACTCCCTCAACCTCACCGCCCAGATAGGGACAGCTGGTTACTGCATGTCGGCTGGAATAATAGTAACTAATAGTAACAATGTTGACAGGTTATATGTCCTGTGATTTGTTGGAAAAGGGCAACCTGGTATGAGATGGTATGAGATACAGATAATTTCAGTGATTTTTTTTCTTTTTCTTTCTTTCTTTTTTTCTTTTTTTTTTAAGAGACAGGGTTTCACCATCCTGGCCAGGCTGATCTCAAACTCCTGACCTCGTGATCCACCCACCTCAGCCTCCCAAAGTGCTGGGATTACAGGTGTGAGCCACTGTGCCCCGCCTCGACTTTTTTTTTTTTTTTTTTTTTTTTTTTTGGGACAGTGTCTCTGTCTCCCAGGCTGAAGTGCAGGGGTGCAGTCTTGGCTCATCGAAACCTCTCCCCCCTGGGTTCTAGCGATTCTCGTGATTCAGCCTCCTGAGTAGCTGGGACTACAGGCACGTGCCACCACGCCTAGTTAATTTTTTTTTTTTTTTTGTATTTTTCAGTAGAAACGGGGTTTGTCACATTGGCCAGGCTGGTCTCGAACTGCTGACCTCACGTGATCTGATTGCCTCAGCCTCCCAAAGTGCTGGGATTACAGGCGTGAGCCACCACGCCCAGCCTCAATGCACCCATTTCACAGATGCGCCTAGTGAAGTCCAGAGAGGGCTGTTGGAAGCATCAGAGGCTTCATGAAGCATCAGGCAGCACCAGGGTCCTGAGCCTCCATTTTCCAACCTGGAGGTTGGGAGTGGAGGTGGGCATGAAATGAGGCGGTCGTTGGGTATTCAGGCCCCTCTGGCTTCCCAGGCCCCCAGCCTCTTTCCTCCAGTCAGCCAGATTCCCGCTCACAGTAGTTATGTTTGCTAGTTTCCGCAGACACGCGTGGCCTCCTAGGAAACCCTTTCCGGAGACTGGGCACGAGAGGAGGGGTTTGCATGTCATTTGCATGTTAGGCCACGCCCCAAAGATGTGCCATCTCATTCTGCCCCTAGGGGGCGCCAGAGGCCAAACCAAGCAGTTCGTGTGCGGAGCGAGCACCTGCTCCGCCTTCTCCGCTGACCTGCCTGGGAGGACCTGGCTTTTAGGTTTAGATAAGGGAGGTGATCTCACAGTCAGAAAGCGAGGAG